AGTGATAAGTTATATTGCTAATAAGGTAATTATAAGACCAAAGAATTTAAGAAAAGCTGTCTGAAGGGAAAAAAATCAAAATTTGTTGAAATCCCTGAAATTTCAACTTATGTGTGGGTAGCTTGCCTCGGTTCATTGTACTCAGAACATGCTTTTGAGTAGTCATGAATTTCTCAAAAATACATTCCCGCTACATATTACACACAGTCTAGAACAATACCCATTTATTTAGATAGCTTTTTTACACAAAGACATCTAGTTGGTTAACAAAGCTTCCAGTACACGTAGCATGAATGCATGCCTTTGATTCATTTATTTAACCGCGTAACTCACAATCTCCACAACAGTAGACCATCTCTTTCCATGACATTACCAACTGTAACTGATAATTCGTTACCTCATAGACAGTCCATCGTCTGAAAGAGAGCCTCAATATTACCTCTCTTGCCTGTGCCTTTTACATATAAATGTAGGGCTTACATTTGAAAATTATCTCTCATTCTCCAGCATGTTCTGAGTTATTCCAGAGTTTTTCAATTTTTACGTTTGAAAGTCTAGTTTATTTTCAGTTCTGCGCCATTTATTGACATGACTGCAGACTTCATTTAGTGTATTGTTTGAAAATTATTAAATCTTAACCTATTCAGCATTAAATTTAAAGTGTTTGGAAGCTACCATGATATACGTTTAATTGATTTTTAAAACATTTCTGCAGACTATGGTGATAATATAACGTCATGTTGAATAATAATGACAGAAGTCAGCAAACTTTTCGCTCAACTCTTGAAAATATAAATATATATATATATATATATATATATATATATATATATATATATATATATATATATATATATATATATATATATATATATATATATATATATATATGCCTCCTCTTTTCCCAACTGCTATGAAAAAGGGACAAAACACATGTGTATATTGAAGTTGTATTTTATTGATCAAAATAAAGATTTTGATCAATCAACAAAAATGTAGTTAATATAAGCATCAAAGGTTTCCAACAAATATGGACAATTGTTCTTTACACATATAAAATATTTCTTACATACAAGTATAATAATAACAGAACACAAACTCTATATTAACTACTGTTTGCCAAAAAACTATTGTAAAAACATGTATATACCGTTTTCTTCATACAAAATCAAAACAAGAATTTAACAGGTAAATACAGAGAGTATACAATGTAATTTTTGTCTTAAATCTTCTAACCTTGGCAAAGGTGGGGTCAATCATCCACCAGTTGAGAAGATCATGCTCATGATGATCTTTGAAACGACCCCAACCGAGCCAATATATATATATATATATATATATATATATATATATATATATATATATATATATATATATATATATATATATATATATATATTTTTATATATATATATATATATATATATATAAAGCACTAAAAACCAACAACACTTTATATCCTAAGTGTCGGATCTACTAAGTAGATACAAGGTCACGGATATAAAGCACTAAAAATGACCAACGACACGAACAATTATAATAATTGTCAAATTTTCGGGACGACCTGTCCCTTCCTCAGGACAAAGAAAAATGTTAAGAAGTCATAAAAACAAAGGAAATAGAGAAATAAAAACAACTAGCACTACTACTAAACTACCAAACACTAAATGTTTACAGTATTACATGTTTAATTTGAAGTTTATAAACAGTTGTGAACAAAGAAATCCGGAGCGCTATGAATTGCGTCCGGTCTATCGGGTGTACTCTGGGTAAGTGCGACTTACATTATTGAACGAATTGATTATCGCTAATTAATTACGACCAAGCAGTAAATCGTACATTGTCTTATTCTTCTCAAAATAGCGTAACTATACATGATAAAAAGAAATTAAAGATAATATGGAAGGGCAATTTTAAAATATGAATTTGGATATATCATAAATTTGGAAATCTGATTAAAAGAAATAAACAAAAATGTAAGCTGTAAATATTTGGGTAGGTTGTTCCAGAATTGCTAATTAATGGTAAAGTTTACACTATATAGAGAGAATGAACTTGTTTGTTACAATCCGGGATTGGGTCTAGTTGGGTCTAGTTCACATTCATCCTGGTGAAGTCATTAAGTTTGTTAATACCATTAGGGCGGAATGACTTCAGCCTGTGCATCCAGAACTTTTCCTTGCCTTTTCTCTGAGCGTCTGTCCACTACTGTTATGTCCTCCCATTTGTGACCTTCAAGGTTGAAATGTTCCCCAAAGGGTTCATTGAGGTTTTTGGTCCAAATGGTAGAACGGTGATTATTGACTCTCCTGCGGAGATCTCCTGTTTCACCAACATACTGTTTGGAGCAAACTTTGCAACTGATGAGATAAATGCAGTTGTCTGTTTGACAGGACAAATTCCCTAGTATTTTGTAGCTGCGGCCTGTAACGGGGCTGTTAAAGCTGTCTGTGTCAGAGCTGTGCTTACAGAGAAGACATCTTCTGTCAGAGCAAGTTTTAAAGCCCCCGTTAGGTAATGGATTGTCCAATCTGGTTCTTACAACCATGTCCTTCAGGTTCCTCGGGCGTCTGTATGCAGCCAATGGGGGCTCCCTAAAGACCTCTGCCATTCGTTTATTTGAGTGGAGAATTGGCAGGTTCTTTTGAAGGATACCGCTGAGGTTCTTAAGGACGGGATAGTATGTGGTTACCAGAGGGACCCTGCCGCTATTGTCTTTTTCCTTGTAGCGTAATAGGTTTTGCCTGTCATGTCCCGCCATCTCATCAATAGCAGTTTGTACGGTGCGGGCATTGTAGCCTCTCTTGCATAAGTGGGACTTCAGGAGACCGCTTTGTTCCTGATATAATGCAGGGGATGAACAGATGCGCCGAATTCTGGTGGCTAGACCCTTAAGCGGTCTCCTGAAGTCCCACTTATGCAAGAGAGGCTAATGGTATTAACAAACTTAACAAACTTAATGTCTTCACCAGGATGAATGTGAACTAGACCCAATCCCGGATTGTAACAAACAAGTTCATTCTCTCTATATAGTGTAAACTTTACCATTAATTCGCATTAGCAATTCTGGAACAACCTACCCAAATATTTACAGCTTACATTTTTGTTTATTTCTTTTAATCAGATTTCCAAATTTATGATATATCCAAATTCATATTTTAAAATTGCCCTTCCATATTATCTTTAATTTCTTTTTATCATGAATAGTTACGCTATTTTGAGAAGAATAAGACAATGTACGATTTACTGCTTGGTCGTAATTAATTAGCGATAATCAATTCGTTCAATTATGTAAGTCGCACTTACCCAGAGTACACCCGATAGACCGGACGCAATTCATAGCGCTCCGGATTTCTTTGTTCACAACTGTTTATAAACTTCAAATTAAACATGTAATACTGTAAACATTTAGTGTTTGGTAGTTTAATAGTAGTGCTAGTTCTTTTTGTTTCTCTATTTCCTTTGTTTTTATGACTTCTTAACTTTTTTCTTTGTCCTGAGGAAGGGACAGGTCGTCCAGAAAATTTGACAATTATTATTGTTCGTGTCGTTGGTCATTTTTAGTGCTGGTATATATATCTTTATATATATATATATATATATATATATATATATATATATAGAAGTGACACTTCACCAGAGTACACCTGATAGACCGGACGCAATTCATAGCGCTCCGGATTTCTTTGTTCACAACTGTTTATAAACTCCAAATTAAACATGTAATATTGTAAATATTTAGTGTTTGGTAGTTTGGTAGTAGTGCAATTTGTTTTTGCTTCTCTATTTCCTTTGTTTAATGACTTCTTAACTTTTTTCTTTGTCCTGAGGAAGGGACAGGTTGTTCCGAAAATTTGACAATTATTATTGTTCGTGTCGTTGGTCATTTTTAGTGCTTTATATAAATTTCCATCCGTGACCTTGTATCTACTTAGTAGATCCGACACTTAGGATATACAGTGTTGTTGGTTTTTAGTGCTTTATATATATATATGACAGGATGAACCTACACCATTCAGTCAACAGAATGATCACTGAAAGGTCTGGAAAGGTCACTGAATGGCAGAGCTTTGACATTCAGTCGCCTTTCAGTAGACTTTCAGTCACCTTTCAGTAAACTGAATGGCAGAGCTTCATCCTGTATATATATATATATATATATATATATATATATATATATATATATATATATATATATATATATATATATATATATATATATATATATATATATATACATGTATATATATATATATATATATATATATATATATATATATATATATATATATATATATATATATATATATATATATATATATATATATATATATATATATATATATATATATATATATATTTCGAATTGTTCCATTGAAATGTATAATTTATTTGCATAAATGTGTCCATTGATTTTAAAACAAATTCTTAAATATTTCCCTCTTTTAGATTGCATAATCAGAGCAATGAAGAAGGTATCCTGGCTTAAAAAACTTTTAAATTTGGAAGCTAATGGAGAGAGAAAAAGATCACAATTTACGACAACAGTGGATGAGACATTCACTGCATCGGTAAAAGTTAAACAATGCTCACAATGTTTACGTGAGTTAGAATTCCACTGTCACACATGTAAGCAAGATCTCTGCGCTTTTTGTAAGGAGAAGCACCTTATTCATCTGGACTCCAAGCACCATTACGTCAGGATTTACAGTTTAAAGAATAAATACTTTAGGAAATCGGAATCATGTGAAAAACATCCCGACATGCCACTTCAAACATGGTGTCATTCGTGTAAATATCCAATATGTATCAAGTGTGAAGGTCACCAAGAACATGATTTTTTTGAAATTACATCAGTGTTTAAATTTTATAGATATTTGCATAAAGACAGAATTGCGAACATCAGAGGTGAGATTCTTCCGTCCAGACTTGCTATTTTAGATGGCATCAAATCTGATATCTGCACGAGTCAAACAAAAATTGCAATGTTTCAAGACAAGATGGCTTCCAAAGGTCAGTTTTTAAAAGATCAGATGGATTTGAGTCTTCAACATTTGTATGAATTGAAATTTTATCTGAATTTTAGATTACAACATCGGGAAAAAATTGCAAACATAGAAAACTATGAACTAAAATTTGAAAAATTAGCGAATAAAGCAGCAAAACTCCTTTCTTTTCTAAAGAAAACCCCAATTTCAAAAATAAAAGATTCGGAACTGCAACGAACACAGAAACGTATTAATAGACAAATTTCTGTCTGGCAGAACAATGAACATAATGATGAACAACCAGATAGAACACAAGCACGTTTCTTCTTTCGAAAGAACACCCTCGTAACCAAGATGAAAGATTTTTCTGAAATCTTTACAATGTTTGTTCTTCATCCAAATTTCCAATTCAACAAACAGAATTTAATAAAGTTTTTAAGAGAAGTCCAAATCACCGAGAGGGGAAAAAGACGCGTACAAACTGAGCACTTGTTTGAATCGAAATATCAAGCTGAGTCCCATGGATGTGTGAATGTGGGCACCGCTAGACGTGGATATCATCTGTCCTGTTCTACAACAGACCAGGTGGCTGTCAGTGATGGAGTCAATCTCCTCTTGACAAATCTTAAAGGTCACACGTTATATCATCTGACAGACATAAAGAAGAGTAGTGGTGGTGTACATACAATGAACTCTGCAAATGATCTACTTTATATTGACACCAATTTTAATATCAGTAAACTATCATCTTACACAAAAGCAAAAATTATACTAATAGAGAAAACAGAACCATGTGAACCACTTTGTGTTTATTATTCTCCCACGGAAGATCTGTTAGTAGGAACGGGAATATATGATGCAAGTAAAGATCAATATTCAGACGCTAAAATAATTCGATACAACAGTAAAGGACGACGTGTCCAGACCATTCAGCATAATAGTGCAGGTCAGGAACTGTACAGTAAACCTAGATACATCACAGAGAACCGTAATGGAGATGTTATTGTGTCTGACAACCACCGTGATGTGGTGGTGACTGATCAAAGAGGCAAATATCGTTTCTCCTACTCAGGACCTCCACCAGGACCACGATTATATCCTTATGGAGTCTGTACAGACGCACTGTCACACATCCTGGTGTGTGATGGTACGACTTACTCGGTACAGATGATTGATAAGGATGGCCACTTCCTGTCACGGCTACTGACGAAAGGAGACGGGGTCCACAATCCACATAGTCTAGTTTACGACTTTAGAAATCACCTGCTGTTAGTTGGATCTTCCACCAACAACAAAGTGAACGTATACAAGTATATAAAACTTCAGAGTTACCTTACATGTGATGATATTTAGGGCACAAGGAATCATACTTATGAATATAAATGTATATGCATGGTATATCAATCTTACTGGTAATTATATTAAGGTTAAAATTTCTAACTTATAATTATTTATCAGGTATACACATTGAAAATGATACAAACTAATGTTATGAATTTGCTTGTAGATAATGAAACAAAATTAGACTGGAACATTTCTTGGGCTAGGATTTATAATTATTTAATCAATTCACTAAAACAAAAAAAAAAATGTGTAATTTTATTCGTATCTTATGGAAATGAATAAATCTCATAAAAATATAATGTGTTATTATGTATAGATGAATCCAAATATGGAAAAAGTCAGATTTACTTCCTTAGGTATATAACATGGAATTTCCTTTCTACTATATTTTCGAAGAATATTTGCTTTTTGTCCTACTGTTACGACTTACAGCTGTCTATGTTCAGCGGCGTAACATTGTGGGGCTCCTTAATCTGAATGTTGAACGAAAGACAACAGGATGTAAATTTTTAAAAAAATATTTTATTAAATTTCATTCATTCATTTTTCCGTTATTTCCCGATGATGACAAGGAGCACACGGCGGGTGTGACCGGTCGGCAGGGGATGCTCACTCCTCCATGGCACCTGATCCCACCTCTGATGTTTGGAGGTCCGTGTTCGCTCTGCTCCTATTTTGTATTGTATAATGGACTTTTGAGCTTGAATACTGTTCGTTATCTCCATATATTTCATTCAAGTAAATATACACAAAATGGAATATGAAGATAACGAACAGTATTCAAGCCCGAAGTCCATTAAAACAATACAAATCAGATGCAGAGCAAACACGGACCTTAAAAAACAGAGGTGGAATCAGGTGCCATTGAATTCAAATGGAGAGTCTGGAAAAAGGAGGAGACAAAGTTAGCTGATGTTCGTTTACTGGCACCGACTCTCGAATACAAAAATGAAGTCGTACAAACAACTATAATGCACATTCTTGAACACAGTAAACTGTATGACTAAAGACTGATACATGTATATAAAACTTTAACCGTTTACTTGTAATTGCAATGTAAACAAAATGACTAGATCTTTGAATTAATCCTGGTTATCCTGAGACTTTAACTAATGAGACTTCATTGATTGAAACAATATGATTGACAAAATAATACTGACATTTTATAACACAAAATATTGTAACCCCTGTTTTCCCCAATAAACAAGGATTTCTTGGGTTCTTTTGGAGGATTTATTTTTTACGTATTCAACATAAATAAACCCTGTAACAATAAATATTAAAGTCAATGCATGGCATAAACAAATATTAACAAGTCAATTTAAAATTATATCTCTGGTCGTAATATTACACTGAACTTTCATTTCACATAATCTTTATAATTAATTACTGTACCCAGAAATAATAGAATATTAATGATATTATCAAAATGTTACAAAATATGAAAAGAAATCATTACATACTTCCGATTTAGAAATTATGAATTATAAACCAAAAAATCAACGAATATTACTATCAGTAACCAGAACTGAGATAAATGTATAAACAGAGAAAATAACATGAAACTCAATTTCATGCAAATAATAAACACACATATACCCTTACCTCACATGAGGTGTAAAGGTCAAAACGTAAAATACTTCAAGGCGATGAATAATTGCATGTTTCCCTGTATAATAAATATATTAGGATTTATACTTTTATATTCTGTGTAAATAATTTTATTCCATTACTAAAATAAAGGTGTTATGAAAATTTAACGAGATTATTTAATCCTGCTCACTCTGTCGTTCTCTCATTTAAGACTATGAAAATAATAATCTGAATTATAATAAAAATGCAAATATTAAATCTGTAATTTAAGCAACATAACATTAGACTATATTTAAAAGTTTTAACTGACTGCACTCTCACGCAATACACGTTCTCGCCAAGCATACGTATTCAAGTGGTTATTAAATAAAATATAGGCAAATTAATACATATGCTATATAATAAACGAGAATACTAATAAAACAAACCTTAAATCCAAAGACCCAAACTCTAAGTTGACTAAATAAAGAAAATCTGAATGAACTTCAAAATCTGCCTCGCCCGGGAAAACAACCAGCACGGGAATGAACTCACAAAACAAGATAACCAATAAGAAATCAAAACAAGTCACCCGTGTGGAAAGGTCTAAATATAGCAGTAAAAACACAGACTGATTCTTATTTATTTTATTTGTTATTTCTTTAACTGAGATAAATTCACACATACACGTGATAATATTTATATATACACAAAATAAACATTTTCTAAATATATACATATATACAGGATATCACAGTATCACAACCACAAAGTAGCTACCTTAAACTTAATACTGGATATAAACTGAAAATACTATTAATAATGATATGATGATTTATAAGATTTACAGGTCAATGCATAAGGTCAAAGGTCAAATGGATTGAGGAAGGAGAAAAACGCTCTAAATATTTTGTAAGTTTAGAATCAAGAAACTATGTGAGTAAGCAAATACCTAAAATAGAAAATGACAATGGATCAATTGTCTCTTCTCAAATTGAGATTTTAAATGAAACAAAAGCTTTTTACGAAAACTTATACAAGAAAAGGGAAAATGTAGAGTCAGAAAATATTTATGAAAGACTTAAACAATATGATATTCCTAAACTAAGTAGAGAGGAATCAAACAGTCTGGAAGGACCAGTAACAAATCTGAAAGTTTTTAATTTCTTAAAACAAATGAAAAATGAAAAAAAAGTCCAGGACCTGATGGATTTACGTGTGAATTTTTCAATTTTTTCTGGAAAGATATCGTCTCCTTTATTACAAGAGCAATAAATAATTCAAATGAATTACTTCAATTCTCAGATTCAAATAAATTGGGAATCATTACGTGTATTCCGAAAGCAGGAAAGGAAAAACAATTTCTGAAAAATTGGCGACCCATTAATCTTTTAAATGTGGTTTATAAAATAGCATCAGGATGCATCGCTGAACGAATGAAAACTAAATTGGACAAATTGATAAACAGAGATCAAACTGGATTTATTAAAGGTAGATTCATATATAGACTGATCTATGATATAATGCATTATACAGAATACAATCAAATACCTGGCCTATTGATGTTAATTGACTTTGAAAAAGCATTTGATACAATCTCTTGGAATATTATGTATCAAACCCTTGAATTTTTTAATTTTGGGACTTCTTTTATAAAATGGAATAGAACCTTTTATAATGGTATTAAATCATGTGTTATACAAAATGGATTCACTTCAGATTATCTTTTCCCCCAAAGAGGCTGTAGACAAGGTGATCCAATCTCACCATATCTCTTTTTGCTGTGTGCTGAAATTCTTGGAATCTTAATTCGAAATAATCAAGATATTAAAGGTATAACAATTGAAGGTGAAGAGTACAAACCTTCGCAATATGCTGACGATACCTCTCTTATCTCGGATGGTTCACCAAGATCCATGGATGGTATTCTCCGAGAATTAGATTATTTTGCAAATATATCAGGTTTAAAAATAAATTTCTTAAAAACTAAAATGATATGGATCGGAAGTAAAAAATTCTCAAGGGAAGTATTCCATCACTCGAGGTGGAAGCTGGACTGGGATAATACAAATTTTGATCTTTTAGGAATAAAATTTTCATTTTGGATGAAATGCCTGACTTAAATTATTCCATAAAACTAAATGAAATCAAAATATTGTTAAATAAGTGGAGGTTGAGGAAACTTACCCCAATTGGAAGGCTAACGTAATTAAAACTTTAATATTACCTAAACTAAACCATTTAATTCTTACTTTACCAATCCCTAAGTCAGAATTTTTGAAGATGTTTGAGACAGAAATGTATTATTTTTTATGGGGTAGCAAAATTCATATGAAATTTCAATGGCTACAATTTCAACTATTACATAGAATCATTCCAACTAATTATTATCTATTTAGACTTAAATTGATTGATTCTCCAGCATGTACTTTCTGCAGAAGTGATATAGAAACAATTGATCATTTATTTGTAGAATGTTTTTATGTAAAAGAACTCTGGTGTACCATTGAAGAATGGATTTTCAACAAGTTTAACATCCATTGTAGTTTTGATAGACAAGCAATACTATTTGGTAAATTTGAAAATATGAATGTTTATAAATTTCAGAATCTTTTAATACTTATTGTAAAACAATTTATTTTTGCTAGTAAATATATGAAGGTCCCAAAAATAAATGTTGACGCTGTACTAAAGGGGATCACAGATAGAATTTTTATTGAAAAAGTTTTGTTGTTTAAAAGTTGTAGATATGAGGAATATGAAAGGCATTGGCAAAATATTTGTGATGCACTGTAATTAATACATATATTTATATTTCCTATTATTTCCTATTACCTATTTGATTTAGAAGAAAAAATTAGATTGATTATTTATCATTTTGTATTATTTGTAATATAGAATAATTGTTTTCTTTGCTGACCCCCCTTTTTTTTGTTTCTGTTTGTTTTTTTTTTCTCTCTCTCTAAACAACTTTCATAGTGTATAAAAGTTGATCTGTGTAAATATGATTAAAACAAGACAAAATATGTGTAATCAGATGTTAACTTGTACCAAATGATGAAATTTATGTTGTATACATATACCTATGAAAGTGTTATAACAATAAAAAAAATAAAAAAAAAAAATAGTGATATGATGAACTAATAAACACTACTCTTAGATAACCAGCAGACATCATGCAATAGCCAATTAGACTTGCATATTAACATAATTATACTAATGGAAATGTAAACAATAAAATCTGTATGTGCGCAGCCATATTGAAAATGCCCGTATGTAGAAAGTGCGGGAATCATGACTTTGAATCAACTGCTACCTGACTCAACTAAATATTATGCTATGAGTAACATTTTCTACATGTGTTTTATAAATCATGAACTAAAACATGAACAGGCATAAATGTATGAATTTTGGCTACTCCACTATAAACTGTTCAG